CCTTCATATAGTTTCAGCATTATCGACATTATAATCAAAAGGAAAACGGCGCCGGTGGTGTAGTGGTAAGCGTGATTACCTCTCACCCCAGCAGGCCTGGGTTCAATCCCAGTCGGCGCCGCCGGGATGTTGTGAGGCATAACATCTCTGATCACGCCTTCCTTCGGATGGGAAGTAAAGCCGTTGGTCTCCGGTTCATGAGTTGATGGGTCGATAGGTAGGGTCCAGGTGTGGGAGCTGCCTTCCTGGCACGTCGGTAGCATTGGTGCTCAGCACGGAAAACAAGATCGACGAAAAAAACAAACCGAAGGAAAAAAAAAAAAAAAAAAAAAAAATAATCAAAAGGTGAGTTGTAAAGTATCATTACCATGCATTGAGATAAGATAATGTAGCAGAACCTGGACGGACACCAGCCTACCCAGGGAAGGACCCGGATACGACCACCCATGTGTGTCTATAGTATTGCACGTGCTGACGAGTGCAACGGGAAGGACAGTAGGTGTATAGACTAGGGGATTAGACCCTAGATAAGCCAACTTAGCGATTGGCACAGCCTATACACTGAACAATTACAATAAAGTATGGATTAAGCCGTTGTATTTCAACAAAAGCAATAGCTGGGCTAACGGCGCCGGTGGTGTAGTGGTAAGCGTGATTACCTCTCACCCCAGCAGGCCTGGGTTCAATCCCAGTCGGCGCCGCCGGGATGTTCTGAGGCATAACATCTGTGATCACGCCTTCCTTCGGATGGGAAGTAAAGCCGTTGGTCCCCGGTTCATGAGTTGATGGGTCGATAGGTAGGGTCCAGGTGTGGGAGCTGCCTTCCTGGCACGTCGGTAGCATTGGTGCTCAGCACGGAAAACAAGATCGACGGAAAAAAACAAACCAAAGGAAAAAAAAAAGAAATGCCAATGAATTCTTAGGAGACTTTCAATGTGAGTAGAATTCCAAGGGAAGGAGTGAAATTGAAAAGGAAATCTGAAATGAATTCAATGAATATTTGGAGAATCCTTCGAAAGGGTTTCTTATTGTGGAGAATTCCAAGGAAAACTAAAAGAAAATTGAAGTCGGAGGAAGCTTCACCAAAATTTTGAGGAATATTTCAATGGAAATCTCCGTAGAATATGAGGTTTTCAGAACTACTTGAAAGTTCCCAATTTTTTCCTGAAGTTAATGAAAATGCCTTGAAGTTCTTTTGTAGTTTGAGAAACAAGCCTGAGACTCACAATACTTCTCATCAAATTCTTAAACTTCCCTGAACTTTTTAGGACTTCCTAAAGTTTCCCAATTTTTTCAATGATCATGGATCTCCTCTAAACGTTTAACAATTCGCTGACTTCTTCAATGTTAACGGAACTGCTCGGAGGTTCTTTGTTCTTTTCTTAAATTCTCGAAACTTCTCTAAAGTTTTAGCAGTTCTCATGAATCTTGTTGTATTGCGCTGAATTTAATTGAACCGCCCTAAAAATGTTTAAGCTTCAGTGAGCTTCTGAACATATGCGAAGACCTTAATTAACTTTTTAACGTCTCTGAAGTTATCTGAAAATCTGGGAACTTCTTTAAACTTCCCACTAATTTTCTGAAACTAAAGGAACTGGCCTCCCCAATGTTCATAAAACATCCTGAAGTTCGTGGATCTTTCCTTAAGCTCCATAGATTTCTATAAAGTTCTCGAAATGTTTGTGAAGACCACTGTCCTTCTGTGAAGTTTTCGAAGTTTTTCTAAATTTCTGGAACTTTTGTGCTACCGCAATTTTTTATGGAATTAGAACCAAATAATTAATATAGTTCTATGATTTTCATTGTTGTTTCAAGATTTTTTTGAAGTTCACTTCCCTTAAATTATCGACACTTATTTAAAACTTCTTCAAAAGTCTAGACTTTCCTGGTGGTATTTAAACTGCCCAAACGATTATTGAACTTCCTTAAAGTTCTCTAGACTGCCCTGAATTTTCAGTATTTTTAAGAACCCGCAACTTTACTGAAATTCAATTATTTGCCTTGAAGTTTCGACAATTTCCCTTAAGTATTATAACCATTATAAACGGTCCCTAATTTTCCCTGAACTTATCAGTGGTTACCTGAAGTTCTCTTTATTTGTTTAATAATCCGGCAATTTGTTTGATATATATTCATAATTCCCTGAGCTTCTCGCAACTTCTTTAAGGTTTCTACAATTTCCTTGAAATTTTTTGAACTGCCCTTTGATTCTATAATCTGTCTTGATGTTCTCGAAGCTTCCCTAAAACTTTCAATTCTATTAAAGTTCTCGGTTCTGCTGCTCGGAAATAAATTGAATTCCCGTAAAAACCTTTAAATTTCCCTGAAATTCTCTGGACTTCTGTGAAGTTTCTGAAATATTTCTAAAGTTTTCATAAATTCTCTGAAGGACTCTGAACTACCCTGAAATTCTCGCAACAGCACATCATGGAACTATCCTGAATTTTTCTAAATTTACGATTATAGATATTTAAACTGCTCCGAAAGTCTGGACTAAAGCTACGGAAACTGCTCTTAAGGTCTGAAATTCCCCAAAAAAATCTCTAGATCTAGCTTTTCTGAGGTAGTTAGAACTTCTTAAAAAATTGTACAATACCCCTCATGTTTTCTATTATTCTCAAGTTCCCTTGACACCTGTGAAGTTCTCTGAAATTCTAGGAACTTCATAAAAGTTCCCGAAAATTTTCGGATGCTAAAAGTTCCCCATATTTTCAGCGTATTAACTTCCCTTATGTTCCCACAGTTTGTTTATGGATCTTCACTGAAATTCTCATCATTGCTTTTCATTACTCATTACTTCGCCAAAGTTCCTACGAACTTGAAATAAATCATTTATTTTTTTTTCCTTGATTCTGGCACTTTGAAAATTTTCAATATCTTGAACTTGTCCATGGAATACGAAACTTCAAGATATTGAATAATTTTAGATCTTGGAATTACTCAAATTGGAAAAGTTTTTTATAACTTTATTAAGTGAGAAATTAAGTAAGTGATAAACTTCAACATTCAATTGATTTGATTGTAAAGCTGTTTCTTTAAAACGTTTGGGTAAATTGCTGTCACTTGCTGTTGTTTTTGATCTACAAAAAAAAAGAATATTTTTAACGGATTTAAAAATTAAAAAAAAAAACCTGGAAAAGTCAGATAATTTTATTTAGAAAAATGTATAGACACCCTGTAAATAGAAAAAGAGGATTTAACGCCCAGAGCAAAGAATGATCAATCTAGAAATAAATTCACGCTAAAAAAGTTGAAAATAGTGACTGATTATAAGAAATAGTGACTTTAGTGACTTGGCCTTAAAAAAATAGACTTTTTAGTGACTGGCTTGAAAAAAGTGAAGTGACTCGCTACCAGCCCTGCAATAGGAACAATAGAGGAGGCTGGTACCCATACTTTAGAGCAATTGAATTGATTTTAGAACCTAACGTATTTTTATACACCTTAAAATGTGTTGGAAGTGTTTCTATTCGCCCCATTTTACGGTACTAGGATTACGGTATGTAATGTGGGTCTAGTCCTTTCATTCGGCCTATCACGCAAATAAATAATTAATTAAGGAATATTACACAAAAAATAAGGAAAATATTGATCACTGATGGTTGATAAATGTGTACCACACACAAATCAATTTATATCACAACATTTCAATACATTTTCAGCTCTCGTAAGTAATAAAACTGGTTGAGAATATCACAATGTTCGGAGTTTTTAGCCGCCATGACTTATAAGGTTAAGATGGGAAGGTTGACTGACGATCATCAAATGGCCTGATTATGGCATTTATTGATTGGAATTACCTGATAATACACACTAGACGTAAAACTTACAGTTGCTGTTTGAATATTTTATGTTTATTTTAATTGTTTAACAACGTTTTCACAAGTAAAACATGGACCCAACTTTAGGGACACATTTCTTTTCTATGTTCCTAACTATGGCCCATGAAATTCATTTGACAGCATATAGCAATAAGAGTAACGTCAACAATGTTGTTTTGCATTTGGATGATAAGGAACGAACAGGAAGGGAGATTTTTTCTGCCAAACCTGTATAATGAACATCACAATGTTCTGATTTAGATATTCTGCGGTCAAAAGACGATAAGCGAAATTTTTAATTTTTAATTTTTAAATTGAGTGATTTAATGTAGTTTTCGTAAAATTTTCTCTAAGAAATGTTATGAGGAATGAAGAGCATTAAGTTAACAGTGATAGTGATAAAAAAAAATACATCAGAAAACGTTACCAAGAGCGTTTTTTTGAGGATCAAACAAGATAGGACGAAGTTGCATCCATAAATAGACCCAATTTGGGGACAATAGACCCATATTACATACATTTCCCTCGTGAGTTATTGTCTTAAAAAAAGTAAGTTTTTCAACTTTTCGTGGTTTCTGATAGCAAACGACATGATAAGCATATCTAAGCATACCATTTAGCAGTAGAATATCGTTTGCAGGTAAATTCATTGATGAGTTATGATTAAAAACGTAATCGATGGCTGCATATTAGACCGAGGTTAGGGACGTATACCCTACTTAACAACATTGCGTTTTGGTAGAAATAATTTATTGGTAATAGTTGGAATTAAGTTTTTCTTAACTGCGTAGAATTATGGCGGTTTACGGTACCATCACTTCGGATCTCTGTCTTGGTCTCCCGTGCAGGCCTACATCATGAGATTAGGCTCTTCTACTTAATTACTACTACTGAATTATTCTATTACTTTTGATCCAATAATTGACAATCACGCATATTCCCGTTCGAACCATAATGTTTAGTATGGTTCGAACAAAAACAAGAATGTCGTACAACCATCTGGGGTTAATTCTCAGCCAAGATCGTTAGGATTTCTGAGGCGTAAAATCTCTGGTCACATATTTCTTCAGATAAGAACAAAAGTCTTGGTTACGACACGTAGACTCTAAGGTGGAATCACCTTCACAAGATTCGACGAAAAGGGATGTGATATGAAATATAATCAACGATTGCTGAGTGTTCCATGGTAATATCTACAGCTCTTATTACAGTCAGTAATGAAAATACATTGTAATGGTGAATAAACGCAGCCAAAGGTACAATACATACATGAGAACCTCACATACACGTAAGAAAGATATTCACTTAATTTCGTTTTGGTTTTCGCTTTTAGGGGGGTGCTTGGAACTCCTCCCATCCGGTTTCCATTTTGCCTTATATACTTCATACAAATTCCAATACTTGTACATACAAAAAAAAATATCTTCCTTCTTACGATCCACTCGCGCTGATCCGTCCACACAACACTCATCTATTGGAAAAGCTTCCATCCAAAACGCAAAAGTTGTACAAAGAATGAGTGTCTAAATAAGATATCTTAACGCAAACGAACGGGTGCAAAAAATAAAAAAAAGTCTACACTCTACAGGTTTCTGGTTATTTAGTTGATCTTTCTATGTAAGCTACGTCTATCATACTGTCATTAAAAAGAAGCTGGTTGCTCTTGTTCAGGTCCAATTGAAACGAAAGAAGATGGTTAAAAATTCGATGAAATCATATCATCTCCACGATATTTTGTGTGTGACTGATGGTTAATGGTTTTTTTTTCAGTTTTCTTTGCAACGGTTAGAATGGAAAACGGTTCTCTGTGTTCTTAAATACTACACGAAAAAATGGATTCGGTCCAACACAGACCGAACTGCACACGACCAATAGAGAGAGACCTTCCACGAGAAGGTCCCAACGGGATAGGATTTTGTCCTGGCATCCTGGCGAGGAGCTTCCGTTTGCTTACTCAAAGTCCGAATCACCATCATCGTCGGCGGCGGGTTCGCTTTCCGGCTCGGATTCACTGTCTTGGGTGATCTTCTTGGACTTCTGCAAATGAGGGTGGGTTATAAGCTACGTTTGAAAGTGCTGGAATTGCGAAGACAGTTTACCTTCTTGGGCTTTTCCTCTTCGCTGCTTCCTTCACTAGGCTTCTTGCGACCACGCTTGGCGGTCGGTGCCTTCGCGACTGCCGGGCCAAGTTTCCTCTTCGGGGCTGCCTTCTTCGGTATCACCTCCGGAGAAGTAATAATATCGTCCAGCGCGACCACATCGTTGTCAGCCTCATCGATGTCGCTTTCGTCATCAATCACGACCTTTGCCGTTCGACTTTCATTGACCCGTGTTTCTGGATTGTTGTCAAACAGCTCATCATCCGATCTGTCAAAGTTCTTATCCTCCTCCTCGTCTTCGTCGACAAACGAATAGTTGATTTTCTGCAATTGTATTAACATGCTGAAATTAACAAACCATGCTTATTTCTAAAAATCTTATGTATTTACCTTTGATGCGGCTCTCCTCTCGGTCTTCTGACGAGTTGGTACAATGACTTTCACTCCAAAGTCCTCGGCGCTGGCATCTGAATTGAAGTCATCGTCGTCTGAGTTTCCCTTCTTTTTCTGTGATCGTATAAATGGTTTGTTTATATTTTTCCGGTAGTGAAACTAGATTCTTATCGAACTTACCCTTCCTTTACCGGCTCCCTTGGCTCCAAAGTTTAGTTTGGGCTGCTTCATACCGTCCTTTTCCTTCTTCTCCTTCTTCTCTTTTTTGGGCTTGGGTTCTTTCGGCTCCTTGGGTTCCTTCTTCACCTTGGGTTTCTTGCCCTCGATCAAAGCATCAAACTCATCAATTTCTTCGCCACCTTCACCCGGTTCATGCTTCTCTTTCTTCACGCGTTGACCCACTGGCAGCTTTTCATGTTTCTTGAGCACTTCTTCGGTAACCAGGAACTTGACCTCTTCGCCCATATCGCTCGGTTTCGTATCATCGATGGCGGACCTCTTGGCAAAGGACTTAACGCCACCTCGACCACCCTTGGCCGGTCCACCGCTCTTCAACTTCTTCTCCGTGGAAAGAGCATCCAGGCGTTCCTTTTCTTCGACTTCGTCCATTTTCTTGCTCAGCGCATCCAAATCGTCTATCCAGAGCACTTCCAATGTCTTAGCTTGAAGGACATTCAGCTCAGCCAATTTCATATCACGTTGCTTAAGCAGTTCGTTCTTGCGTTCCTCCGTCAGCATCCACATCGACATTCCGAGCAGATAGTCGAACTTCTTCACGTCAGTCAGGTTCTGGAACGCCTTCTCCGGATCAATAAGCTTCTTAGAGGATTTGCCTGGTTTCACATCTTCACCTTCCTCCTCTTCCTGGGCCTCTTCCGGTTCTTCTTCTTCATCCTGTGAAATCTTACGCTTCCATTCCTTAACCGGGTCTGGCCGATAACCGCGCTTGATCAGTTCGTCGATCATGACCTTTCGTTTCTTGTTTTCAACCACAACCGTGCGATCGCACTTCTCCATAATGAAGCGCGCTTGATCGGTCAAACGATCCGCCTCGGCTTGCATCATACCTTCCAGATAGGCCTTACGCTTGCCATAGTATTCCAAACGCAGCTTGTAGTACTCGTGGAATATATCGTTGGCAGTTTCAAACCGTTTCAGGTAATTCTTATCGTCGAAAGCGTTCATGGTGCTCAGCCAGATCGAGCTAGTCAATTTGAACACCCTGTGGAAGCCACCTTCCTCCCGGTAGATTCGATCAAACTCACCTGGCAAGAATGAAACCACAAACCGTACGGTCGTATCCGTGTTGTACTCCTTGTAATCGGCGATAATTGGTTTCTGTTTGTCCGACCCGTTATACAGCGGTTCCAGTATGTTCTCCTTATAATTCTGAGTCCAGGTGCCAATCGGAAGTTCGGAAATTTCGATCTTTTGATTTTCCAGCACTGACACATTTCCGACAGACAGATACTTCTGATGACCGACGGGTTCGATCTGACCGCGGAAATTCTTGTACCACGGGTGCATGATCTTCGGCTCCTCACCATTCAGCATACGTCGCAGATTGGAAATGATATCCCGCGGGTTATGGTTCGGAATCTTGGTCGACCAACCGGTGCCAATACCCTCCGATCCGTTGACCAGCGCCATCGGGATAATCGGTAGATACCAGAGCGGTTCGATTTTCTGGTTGTCCTCGTACTGGTATTCCAGCAGTGGATCATCCAAGGGGTTGAAGATCATCCGCGTCAACGGGGACATCATTGTGAAGATGTAACGAGGACTGGCACTGTCCTTGCCACCGGACAGACGGGTACCGAACTGACCACCCGGTACTAGCAGATTGATGTTGTTGCTACCGACATAATTCTGCGCCAAGTTAACGATGGTACCGCAAAGCGATTGTTCACCATGATGGTAAGCGGACATTTCGGCAACAGAACCAGCCAATTGAGCAACCTTGACCTCGCGCTTATCGTTACGCTTGAAGCAGGTGAACATGACCTTACGCTGACCAGGCTTGAGACCGTCCAGCATACACGGAATTGAACGTACATTATCGGAGTTGGAGAACAGGACCAGCTCGAGGTTAATGAATTCCTTGTAGGTGATGGCCTTGGTCGTCTTGGTGTAGAGGTATCTCTCGGGAAGGCCAACCAGCTTGCGATGACGATTCTCCTCCATATGGGCCGTGAGCCATTCCTTACGCTGCTCGATGCACTTCTTTGAAAAGGCCATGGTGATGGCGTCGTCGTCTTGGGTGTTATCGTACGTGAACAGGATTCGGTGACGTTCCATATTCTGGAAGTACTCCTTTGCCTCCTTGGAAGTCGAAGTACCCAAACCCTTATAGTACTTAATGTTATAGGTGTGGGCATTCGGTGTATCGGTTTTCCATTCTTCAAATTCCGGCAACGAAAAGAAGGAATGCTCGGCCCCATTCTTCTTCGTTGCCTTCACGATGGGCGTGATAAATTCTTCCAAGAAAGGCAATCGCAGCAGTTCCGGCCAGTTGGTATGGATAAAGTTGATCAGCAACCCTTTGATGTGAGAACCATCCTGATCTTGATCAGTCATGATCATGACTTTGCCGTAGCGAAGCTTCTTCAAATCCTCCGTGTTAAGGTACTTTGCCTTGTACTGCAAACCGATAATCTTTATTAGATTGTTGATTTCGGCATTTTCTAGAATTTGCTTGTGGGTAGCCTCTCGTACGTTCAGCAGTTTACCACGCAGCGGAAATACGCCGTAGGTATCACGACCGACAACACCCAAGCCGGACACGGCCAACGTCTTGGCTGAGTCTCCCTCCGTGAGAATCAGTGTACAGTTCAACGAATTCTTCGTACCGGCATCGTTGGCATCTTCCAGCTTAGGGACGTTCTTAACCTTTGACTTCTTCGAACCGGACGCCTTGTTCAGTTCGGTTTGAGCCTTGAACTTGGCCCACTGCAGCACCGATTCGACGATACCACTCTTGGCGACTCCTCCGATGAACTTTTCCGACAGGGTACATTTCGAACCGAAGCTCTTCGACTGTAGTGTCATGTTCTCCTTAGTTTGTGAATCGAAAGTCGGATTCACAATCAAACAGTTGAGGAAAACCCACATGTGATTCTTGACTTGGAATGGTTTAATATTAATACCGCCCTTGTTCTTCTTCTTCAGCACTTCAATCAGCTGTTTTACAATCATATCCGTTACGTAGTCAACGTGACGACCGCCCTTCGTCGTAGCGATGGAATTTACGAACGAAACCTGCTGGAATCCACGATCGGAAAGCGTTACAGCCACTTCCCACCGTTCGTTGGCGTTCTCGTAAGTGACCTTGACCGGTGATCCGATGTCATCCTGTTGATCCTTGATGTACAGATCGATGTAGTCCTTGAAGTTCTTGATCGGCAGCTTCTTGCCGTTCAAAAAGACCGAGACGCCTCTTGTCGAAGCAGCCACGTCGAATGCACGTCGCGACATCAACCCAACGATGTCATCGTCCAGTTTTTCCATCTTGAATTTCTTCAAGTCCGGAGAGAAAGTGATCTTGGTAAAGTCATCCCCGGAGTAATCCTCCTTGATCTTGGGCTCCGACGACTTCGCCATGTTGTCAGCCCAGATTTGCTTGAAGCACTTCTTGTACTGCTTGTTGGCCGTTTCGACCGTGAACTTGGTACTGAAAATGTTACACAGCTTGGCACCGTAACCGTTCCTACCGCCGGTGACCTTCTCCTCTTCGTCGTTGTAGTTGGACGAAGTCAACAGGTGTCCGAAGATCATCGTTGGGACGAACATTTTCTCCTCCTTGTGCATAACCACCGGAATGCCTTGGCCGTTGTTCCAGATCGAAATCGTGTTCGTTTCCTGGTTGATGTCAATCTTGATTGTAGTCATCTTCGCATCACGTTGCTTGTTGTCGGCCGCATTGACCAAGATTTCATCGAAAATCTTGTACAAACCCGGCACGAAGTTGATCTCCCGTTGGATCATCTTGCCGGCCTCGGCGTCGTAGATCCACATAGTCTCCTTGAGATGTTCGATCGAACCGATGTAGGTATCGGGACGCAACAGGATATGCTCCAGTTGGGACTTTTTCTGGTAGATTTTTTCGATCGATTTGCCGCCGATCTTCGGGCTGGAGGTGGCCCCAGCACCATTCTGCTGAGCAGCGAATGCTGTCTGCAATGAGAGAAGGGAAAGAAACTGGTTAGAATTGTTTTACCGTGTTATTTAGATAACGTATGCGTGATAATGTTTGCACCATCGTACAAATAAGGTTCCCGTTTCACCTGTGCATACAATGCCTTGGTTTTCTTTGCATGCACGTAACCTATAGCTCATACCGTAGTAGGCTGTGCATAAAAAAAAGATTTACTTAGTTTGACAGTTGCACCATGACGAAGTGGCAGCGTATTCGTGATTTGTCCCACGCGCACATGTCGCAAAAAGACACTTCAATCGCCGTGGGAGTGTCCCGGTGGACCGTCAAAAGGGTTTTAGACCGAGAAAAGAAAGGACACCTATCCGCGAAGGTGACCACAGGTCGTCTGAGGTCAGCTCGGGTTCCGAGGGTTATCGCTGCTATCAAAAGGAAGATTCGGGTGAATCCAGTGAGTTCAATAAGGAAAATGGCAAAGGAACACGGGATCAGTGATTTTACGGCACGGAAGATCGTAAAGGAAGATTGCGGGGCGAAGTCGAGGGAACGGAAAAAAAACTCACATGATTACCAACCGCATCCGGGAGCTACGAGTCGAACGGTGCAAGAAAATCTTGAACTTCCTTAAGCGAAAAAATCCGGTAATCCTTTTCACCGACGAGAGTATGTTTACCGTAGATCCCGTATCAAATTCCATAATCGACCGGTATATTAGTTCTCTTCCGGTAAAAAACGTGCCCGACGATCACAAGAAGGTGTATCTGACCAAGCATCCGGCTAGCGTTATGGTGTTTGGATTGGTGGCTTCCGATGGCGACAAGGTCAACACGGAGGTCTACATCGGGATTTTAAGTAAGTATGTTCTTCCGTGGATCAAAGAACAGTACGATCCGAAGCCAAACGTTGTATTTCAACAAGATGGGGCTCCGTGCCACACCTCGAACCGCACTCAGAAGTGGTTGCAGGAACATCTTCCGTTCTGGGCGAAGGATATGTGGCCTCCATCCAGCCCCGATCTCAATCCGCTGGATTACTCAATATGGCGCGTCATGAAGGCCAAGGCCTGTTCTAAACACCACCCTAGTACAGCAAGCCTCAGGCAAACATTGACCCGTACCTGGAGAGAAATTGATCCAGACTACATTATTAGAACCTGCCGTGCATTCTGGAAGCGTGTGGAGGCCGTAATTGCAGCAAGTGGAAACTCGATCAAAGATTAACATAGTTAATCTAGAGACATAACGTAAAGAAACATCCCCCCTTTGAATAAATAAAAAAAAAACTCAAAAACGAAATTTTTGAATTTTTTTTAATCTTGACATTGCTCAATGGTGCAAACATTATCACGCATATGGTAGAGCCAAATCCGCTTGTTTCACGTTTCCGGAAAATCTATCCGGAGGGTCTCAATTTCGTGGCGTTCAAAACGATATTTTACGATAGCCTTAAAAACATTTCATTTTCATTTTGCAGCGTTTGGTGGGGAAATGGGAGCGCAAGTGGTGGAGTTTATTTGCAAACGTTAATTTTTATCGACTGGCAAATGACTGGGATAATGCGTACCACCGGACTTCGCGTATTTGAAGTTTATAAAATAGACCCGTCACGTAAGTGAAAGTGGTCCTTAGCCTCTTGCCCAATAGCTCCTATCCCTTCTTCCCCGCGGCGCCGGCTGGGGTACGAGTAACCTTAGGGAAATTCGGATTACCAACCGGTGGGAACTTTGGTCGTATACTGACAAGGAAGGGGGAGCTGCATCCTTTTCGGAGGATGTGGCTTACAAAACCCGAGCGTCTGTTCTCCGTGTTAGGGGTGGGTCAAACAGCGTCTGACTGGCACCCAGCGGCTGAATACGAAATGCTTCTCCCCGAAAGCTATACCCAATATGGCAGTTACATCACGGCGCATAGGAGACCTTAGGCCAACCACCTACTGTCTCCGAAACCTATAGTGAAAGATTACGAACTGATTTTATGGCAACGATTTTTAGCGCTAAACAACGAACAAGAATTGGAACATGGAATGTACTGCACGCATTTGTGCACGCTAGCCGTATGAAGCTAGAAATCCTGGGACTTAGTGAAGTTCGCTGGCCGACCTTTGGAGAACACAAGCTGCCTTCGGGACAGGTACTTTTATATTCTGGTATGCGGGGTGAAAACGCTCCGCGACATCGTGGAGATGGCTTTATGCGTAGCGCCCAAACACAGGCTGCGCTCATCAAGTGGGAACCTATCAATGAGAGAATAATCGTTGCTAGATTTGCTGCCGAATTGCAGGACAAAGAGAACTTTTACAGTCAACTGAATGCTGTCGTGGATAAGACTTCAAGAGGTGATATCAAGATCTACACAGGCGACTTCAATGCGAAGATCGGTTCCGACAACTCGGACTATGGGCGCATTATGGGACGCCATGGTCTCGGAGATATGAGCGAGAACGGCGAGCTGCCTGCAGAGTTTTGTGGCAACAACGACATGGTGATCGGAGGTTCGCTCTTCCCCCATCGCCCAGTGCATAAGGTCACATGGGTCTCCCGTGATTGATACACAGAGAACCAAATCGAACACATCTGCATCAGCCGAAAATGCAGACGGAGCCTTCTTGATGTTCGAAATACACGCAGCGCTGACATCGCGTCTGACCATCATCTCCTGGTCGGTGAGATCCGCCTTACGCATTGCGCGGGTTCAACGGCAGGAGGAGAGACTCGGGCGGCGATTCAACACACCCCGACTGGAAGACCCAGCAGTGAAGAGATTGTTCGTCGAAGAACTCGAGGCTCGCGCAGCTAATATTCCGGAAGGTGGCAGCGTAGAAGAACAGTGGACGAGCATCAAGAATGCTTTTATTGAAACAAGCGAGAACAACCTGGGTGAGCTGCGCACTCAGAGGAAGGAGTGGATCGAGGGGAGCGGAGAGAAGCAAAAGCCACGATAGAGCGAGCAATGACCCGAGGAGCCAAGAACGAGGCCCGTCAGCGGTATTCGGCTCTAGAGAGGGAAGTTAAGCGTTCCTGTATACGGGACAAGCGAGCGTGGGTAGACTCCCTGGCTGATGGAGGGGAGAAAGCCGCAGCAACTGGCGATATCCGCCTTCTCTATGAAGTTTCACGACGTCTGAGCGGGGCAAGGATGAACCCAAGGATGCCTGTGAAAGACGCGACTGGACAGTTGCTCACCGACCCCACTGACCAGTTGAAACGTTGGTTTGAGCACTTTGAACAACTTCTCGAAGTTTCAACGGTCAATCAACCATCAACATCTCGGCATGTTCCGCCAAGGGTGAGGCGCGTTACTCGCGTCAACACTGAAGTTCCATCATTAGGTTTTGCACCGTCGGGGTTAACCTCAATCTGATGACAGTTTAGTGGTACTGTTTACGTGGACTTAGCCGATTTTCCCTTGGGTGGATTTTCTCGATAATTTTTCAGACTGCAGTGAGATGTAAACCACATTTCTGCAATGTTCACGAGCAAAATCCTTGCAACGCGCTGTTCCTCGACAATTTTCAAGTTAAAATTCGGAAATCTTAGATTTTTTTTTTCGAAAAAACGACTAAGTGCTTGTAAACAGTACCACTGAACTGTCAAAAAGGTTCAGCCGATTAACACTGAGTTCATTCGTGACGTCACGCTGCAGAACCTAATTAGGTACTTAGTCGTTTTTTCGAAAAAACAAAATCTAAGATTTCCAAATTTTAACTTGAAAATTGTCGAGGAACAGCGCGTTGCAAGGATTTTGCTCGTGAACATTGCAGAAATGTGGTTTACATCTCACTGCAGTCTGAAAAATTATCGAGAAAATCCACCCAAGGAAAATCGGCTAAGTCCACGTAAACAGTACCACTAAACTGTCATCAGATTGAGGTTAACCCCGACGGTGCAAAACCTAATTGCGGACTGCAGAGCAGTGATGGAAAAGTTCGCGTAAACTCACTATGACTCGCGAACTTTTCCCTTGGTGAACTTCGTGAAATATCGCGAACTTTTCCAACACTGCTGCAGAGAACATATGCAACAGAGTTGCATTTGTTTTCGACTTCCATCTCTTTCGTGATTCGCTTCGTCGAAAGTTGTCTTCTGTTTTTCGCCGGCAGGAGTAACTGACTATAAGATATATGTTTTTTAATTTTTTTTTTTATGTTATGGCCAAGCATAGGAAAAATCGTTTCATTTTGCATTTACTACTCACTCACACGCATACATCATCAGAAACGAACAGCAGCTTGTGCGAGCCGCACTGATTTCGTTCGTATAGATGAGTGCACGGATGGATTTGAGTTCACTAACTCGACAAAAAGTGACACAACAGCGGGGCCCTGTTTACTAAAAATGCTGTTGTGTCACTTTTTGTCGAGCGAGTGAACTCAAATCCATCCGTGCACTCGTCTCAGCGTTGCCAGATGTACCGATTTATCGGTATTTATACCGATTTCCGAATTAGATACCGATATACAGATAAGGTTCCTCAGAATACCGATTTTCGAGATGTTATACCGATTTTCAAATAATCAAAATAATTATTGCCTGCCTGCACTCAGAATTTCTGATAAAATTATTGTGTAAGTATCTTTTTGAATATCTCAACTTTTTTGAGTCTTTAAAACTTAAAAAAAATCATCTTCAAAAATGTCTTATGGATACTCTTTCGATTAATGTTTCGATTTCCTCACCGTTTTTGGCTACCCATGAATCGATAAACAGTCGATAGCTCTTTCTGGTAATTCCGGGGGAATGTTTAAATATTATTTAACTTCCTGGATTTTCTTCCAACTTTCCCCTGAAATTTTCTATTAACGATTCCACTCGGAAACTTATTTCGACTTCCCTTGGAAGCTTCTTCAGCTTTCGCTCGAATGATTCTTCCCGGAACCTTCAGGGATGCTTCTAGATTTTGATTGCGGATCCACACTAGCTGCAGGAACTTTTAAAAAGTTCTGAAGCTTCACCGGAGCCTTCATAATAAAGATAACTAACTTCAGAAAAGCCCAGACTTTTAAGTAAGTTTCGATAAATTAA